TCTCATTTTATCATGAATAAATTGTGCCTTTCTGAAATGAATTCGCCACTTAGCCTGTGTGGTTTATTAGGCTAATGTTAACGCATAAGGTCTAACGTCATGCTCTGAAAAAACATTACTATAAGTGAAACCTATAGGGGCAACGTAAAAAAAAAAAAAACTAGCTAGCAAATAATAAGCCCTATTGTTTGAATTTTAGTGGTATTTGCATTTAGTGGGGCGGAGCTGTCAATTGATCACCACCTGGTGGTGGGTTGGCTCCGCTGGTGGGGGAAGAAGCCGGTCAGACCTGGCAGACCCAAGCGTATAGTGCGGGTCTGCTGGGAACGTCCGGGGGAATCCCCTGTCAGATGGAGTTTCAACTCCTACCTTCGGCAGAACTTCTCCCATGTCCCGGGGGAGGCGGGGGACATCGAGTCCGAATGGGCCATGTGTTTCGCGCCTCCATTGTGGAGGCGGCTGACCGGAGCTGTGGCCGTAAGGTGGTTGGTGCTTGTCGCGCCGGCAATCCCCGAACCCGCTGGTGGACACCGGTGGTAAGGGATGCTGTCAAGCTCAAGTGGGACCCCTCGGGGACCTCCCCGATGACCCCACTGGACCCCTCCACCTTCGCCCCAGCGCAAAAGATCCCTGTCAGGTCTCCACCTGTCGCCTGCCCTGGCTCACCCTCACTCGCCTTGGCTGGGGCTCGGGGGGCACCTGCAGGTCCATTGGTTCCTACTTGGCGGTCACCTGCAGGTTCCCCAGTCGGCAATGCCTTCACCAGCTGTGGTTGCGCGGAATGACTTCAGATGGGGACAAAACAGTCTACAGAGACAAAGTATGTAAACTGACAGGATGGTGCCAAGAAACTCATTACTTAAATAAACTAAAAAACTTATCAAAGAAATCATAAGCTCCCTCTTCTGTACATCAAAGGAGAAGTGGAGAGTGTCTCCATCACAGAGGACCTCACTTGAACAATGAACTTCTCCGCTCTGGTCAAAAAGGCTTAACAGTCAAAAAGACACTTAAGAACATAAACCTGTCTGAGGAGCTGCTCATGTCCTTCTACAGCGAGTCATAAATACAGCCCAGAAAATAACTGGACTTCCACTGGCCATACTGATATCCAAGATGTGCATAGTGTCTGTGTGTTTGCCCTGTGATGAACTGGCATCCTGTCCAGGGATTTCCTTGCCTTTTGCCAATTTTTGTACCACTTATCCTGGACTGGATCTCAAAGTGGTCCTATACACATTTCTTCCACCCATCCATCCACCCATCCATCCATCCATCCATCCATCCATCCATCCATCCACTAACAGCTTATTTTAGTCAGGGGCATGGGGGGAGGGGGGGGCTGGAGCCTAGTTATACATTTTATGTGAAATACATATAAGCTTGATAATATAAACAAAAGAAAAGCTTTATTCAGTTTTTTTACAAATATGTTTTTTCAAATAAATTTCAAATACAGTTTACACTTTATGGCAGTGTGTATAAACATGAAATGTATTTCAAGAATTATCAGTAAAGCAATAGAAAATACAGCCACAGATACTAAAAGTGTAACACCAATAAAAAGCTGCACATTTATTTCATGTGTTTTTTTACCCAAGTTGTTCCTCTTCCACCAGCTCTGTTATTGTGCTGTTAATTCAAAATTTACATTTTCATAAACTCTTTCTTGAATATTTACATTTCCATAGTCTGGGAACTCACAGGATTCCTCAGAATATCTGTTGCTAGTTCCACTCTTCTCCCTAGAAAAGTCCTAAGGTGGAAAACAGAAATGAATAAAGCACAAAACCAAATTTACATAGATATACATTTTGATGAAAGTAGTACAATTTAGACTTGCCATGAAATTGGCATAAATAGCTGACTCAGCCTGTTTTTCTGAATCGCTGCACAGGTCCTTGTCTTCTCTCTGTGAATTCAAAAGATTAAAATTCTTCTATAAAACCTGACGCATCATGTAACCAAAAGATAATCAGAAACGAGGTCATACTTTCTTGGTTCCTTCTTTGGTTTTGTCCACATTGAGTGAATTTATCCTGTAACAGAGACAAATTAAATACTTAGCAGTTTAAATTTTTAATTTAAAAGAAAGGAATGTAGTGATACAAGTCTTTAAAGACAACACATTACCTTTTCATGAAGATGATAATCACAACAGCTCCAATTAACACAATCAATAATACTCCCACAACAGTAATTATAATTATTGTATTAAAATGACCTGTAAACAGAGAAAACAAGGAAAACGTTGCATCAGATACACACTGTTTACAGAGCTGACAGTAGTGATGGAGTAACCTCACAGTGTTACTGCACAGTGTCCTCAGAACTGACAGTGAGGGATTAATCATGTTAATAGAATAAACTGATTAACTATAAGGATCCCAATATGTAACGTGAATATTACAAATACCGGTCATCTTAAAACAAACAAATGTGTTGGAATGTAAATACGGAGCGTAATATATATATAAAAAACAACAATAAAGTAGCAATGTTTGGAATTCTCATATGTAAATGAAATGCTGAGCCAGACAATAACCCTGCTACATAAAACCCACAATTTATTTTCACAGATATGATTTCAGCTCCCATTCTGCACTGTTCTGTCAATACATAATTCCTCTATTATAAAAATGGCAAACATACTTTTACAGCCAGTTTAAAAGTTTAAAGGAATAATTCCTTTATTAAACTTTACTTACTTTCAACAATGATATTCACTTCATTAGATGCAGCTACCGTTCTGCCATTTAAAGCACATGAATATTTTCCTGTGTGATGATAGGATATGGGACTGAAGTGAAGTGTGGACTGTGTTTCTGGAAGCTGCTGGTTGTCCTTAAACCAGGTGAATTCTGATTGGCTAAGAGAGCAGCTGTCTGTGTCACATATAAGGTTCACAGTGTCTCCTTCCCTTAGTGTTCCATTTACTCTGGATGAGGTCATCACCACCTTCAGTTCTAAAATTATACAATATGAGAAAGAACAAATAACTGCAAATTTCTGCAGCAGTATGTAGATTGACCCAGGCTTAAAACAATATGGCAAAGAGGAGAAATCCTATCACTAAAAGAAAGTCAAGCATTTTTCCACAACATGTGATATTATGCTGTGTAGTTAGATTCTCATTGCTCTAATTTGCTTTCTGGTCCATATACTTCTGTTGGTATTCAAATTCTCCTCTTCATTGACAAGCACACCATAAATCAGGCAATATTTTAATGTTATTTAGAACGTGATATGTATTTCACATAGAATGAAAATACTCTGCAAGATATTGCATTTAATTTATATTATGCAACAATTAGCTGAAATTTGAGGTAAAGACTCACCATCAACTTGAAGAGTCACTCCAGGTCCACCACACTTCTCACACCCGTT